AAATATATAATAAATTACATTAACATGTGACTAGAAAATTTCAGTTTATAACCTTACCTAATCCTTGCCCAAATAACTAACAGAAAAAAAGGGACTCTAATGATACCTTTTGTGCACCGTTAATCGCACGACGAAGGATCTTCGTTGCAAGATCATCATAAACTGGCATTCAGTTGGTCGGCACCTGATTGGTGGACGCCTCGGCCTAACAAGGAATATTTTAATTTTTACAATAAAGAAACAAATTAAAAACATTTTTTATTGTAAATATATATATAAATATTAAAATTAATATTAATTTTAATATTAAGTAAATAAATTTAATTAAATAATTTATAAATTAAAAAATTAATTTTTATTTTTAATAAAAAGTTATACGAAATATTTTTAATATACCTTTAAAAACAAGCACTTATAATAAAAACAGATTAAACCAAATCCAGAAATAAAGACAAATGAAGAGCAAAAACGGGTAGAAGACCAAAACCCCTTCACATCGAATTCATCCCAAAAGAAAAATTTTTAATTTTAAACCAGAAACAGCTGGGAGAACAGGTGAAGAAAGTAAATAAACTCTTTTTTTTTTCCTTTTTGTCAAGGAAGCAAATAAACTCAATTAACAAGTAATCAGAAAATAAACCATCCAACGGCAGAAACTTCTTAGAAATTTAGCTGCAAAGAATAAAAAAAAAAAGAAAAAAAGAGAGCACATGGAAGAACATAAGCTAAAGTACAAGGTAGAATACCCAAATCGAATTTCGAAGTACAGTGACAAGACAGATTTATTTTCAAATAAAAAATAAGATAAATTTACTTATAAAATTTTAAATTTTGATAAATTATTTTAAATTTAATATATAATATTATTTAATATAAATAATTTATTAATTTAACATCAATAATTTATTAATATTAAATAATATTATATATTAAATTTAAAATAATTTATTGAAATTAAAAATTTTATAAACAAATTTATCTCTAATTTTTTGTTTGAAGCTGCTCTATAGCCCCTAAGGGAAGTAAAAGACAAACTCTCTTCACGAGGGCGCGGTAACTGGAGGACACTAGCACATGCATTGCCAGAGTTAAATATAAAATTCGTACCTTTATAATGTTAAATAATTAATTTTTAATATATTAAAAAAAATTTGATTTTCGTGCTGTCCTTATCTCCCGCCGACAGGGCTGACCCAACTGCAATGCATTATTATATTTGTGAATAAATTAATGAGTAAATTGAGGTTTATCTGAGCGGTCCGCTTCGTTTTAATGGTATAAATTCTAAGTCATGGTCATTTATTTTTGGTAAGTGACGTGTTTAAATTTTATAATTTTTTTAAAATTAATATATATAAATAATTATACTGATTAGGTCTAAAGCAATGCCACTACTTCTTTTCTTTTCCCACTTGATCGAACTGATGAAAATAATTACTCGCCCATTCAATTATTCAATTTTACTGGTGCTAATTTTTTATTTGTTGTTTTTTAATTTAATTAA